TCATAAAAAAAATTACATGTTTAGTAACTACTTTCAGAAGGCTGATTCCTTAATGTAAAGAATCAAAGGGCACAGTGAGCTACATGAGCTACATGTAATTCCAAGCGCATATGGATTTTAACAAAGCTTTAATAACTTTGACAAATTTTGTTACTTACTTGCCAAAGACAAAATGTGCTGATATACTGTTCCTCTTCTATTTTTTATTATTTAGCTCTTAGAATTCAAAGAATAATAAAAATTTGCTTAGGTTGTTCAGAACCTAGACACTATGCTCTTGAAGGTGAAGATAAAGGTGGTGAAGATGACAATGATGGTGATGTCGAAATGGAATCTTCCCATCCTTCTTTCTGAGACTTAAATTGGTGTATAATAGGTCTCATTCTAATCAGTACTCTTTCCTCTCACCCAGTTTTGCTGTGTGCTCCAGTGTCTATGTATGTATTCTGTCATCTGTTAAGGTGAAAGTTGCAATAGCAGGAAAAGTCCCTTTTAAAATAATACTGAAAATACATGTAAGGTTACCAAAAGTAAAAACTAAATAATGCACGCCCAACAAGTTTTGTCCTGACAACCTAAATTGGTTTTCAATTATAGTATTAGAACAGACATCATTTCTTCCTCCACCCCTGCCCCCATGACATGATAAATTCTATGGTGTTTACAAAGGAAAATAGTATATGGTCAATACCAATACTGAGAGTCTTGTATGAAAAGAACCTTTTCCCTTAGTCTTAGTACAAATATTGTTTAGATTTTTAAAGAAGAGAAAATATTGCAACAACTAGTATAGAAACACACAGAATTTGGGCATTATTTCTTGATGAATGTGGAATGCTTCATGGTCAGAAGAGAAGGCTCAATAAGGTACTTCTTTTTTAGATATGTAGAAAACATGAGCTGCTTAGCTTCCAAACCCAATCTCTTTCAGCAAATGCTGAGAACAAAACTGTACCTGTATTTCACACATCACTGAACCCTTAATACTCTTCTTACCCAGTATCTTGCTGATGTTGGAGTTGTGCATGTCAGGAAAAGCTTGAAGGATTTTCCTTCGTTCATCTTTAGCCCACACCATGAAGGCATTCATTGGACGCTTTATGTGGGGTTCATTGCTACCACGCCCCCTGGATTCTCTATAAATTCTTGATTCTGAGACTCCAGCACTTCCTAAAAACAGGGAACATTGCTTCACGTTAGTGTTAAAACTTGGCAATCCCTTCCTTGCATTATTGTTTTACAGTCTATTAAAATATCTGAAAATTGAAAGCACATCTGATAATGGTACTTCCAGTTCTTGAGTCAGATGCTTGTTTATGAAGTTTTTGTGATAGGCCTTGTGGTGCCAAATATATTTGTATTTTAAAATTCATTTCTAGTATATTTTTCCTTCCTTTCAAAGGACTGTTCACCGTTCACTTTCAAGACCACACAAGAAACCATCACAAGAAAAATATTTGATGCAAACTGCAAAGAAGATAGTTGGGTTACGTTGACAGGCATGCTGGTAGTGTAGAAATATTATGTCAAAAAGCTCACAGAATTGTGAGATACCAATCTATTCAGCAGAATGGGTGACTATGGGTACAGAAGTATCTCTGTTACCTGAAGACTGTCAGAACATAGCCCACTCATGCCCTTTTTCTCCCTCTGAGGCTATATAAATAAAAACACTGCTAAATAGATATTCGAGGTTAAAATACAATACAGATATCTCCTGTAATGTGTTTGGCTTTTCTTTGAAATTATGTGCCAATAAATGCATGCAATATGCTAATGCAGCAATGTTAGTCTGCTTCTCAAAAGATGTATAAAATTGGTGGGAAAAGAACAAATGAATAGTTACATCACAATGGTTTATTAGGAAGTCTGCCGTCACATATATAAGGTGAAAAAGACAATATGTTCATTTTCCTGCATTTTCCCCCAACATCTAATTTATCCAAAGAGATCCACTGATAAATACATTTCAATCAGGGAGACTCAGGACGAAGCACAACCAGGAGTGACGCTGGAACCTTGAGGAGTTTCAGTCAGTTCTCTAGGCTTTATCTGACTTTGTAGAATGGCTTCAGCAGATTAAACTGTTTCCTGAGATACTTGAATTCAGGCAAAGAAAACAAGGAGAAGCAAAATGTAGAACTCTGGCACTAAGTTTCCTAGGGTTATCATTATAAAATATGAAAGAGACATATTCTGGTAGCGTGTAAAACTTTCAAATATTTTGGGATTTTTGAGAGTTTGTATAACCAACAAAAGCACTGATTCTGCTTTTTTTCTTCCTTCATACTCCTTTTCCTGTCTTAATCTGAAGGAATAGGAATTAACCAAAATGACCCAGACTTGAAGACCTTGATAGCAGCAAACAGAAAATACACCATTTTGGAGTTTCTCATTATTTCTCTTTCATAATATACTCTTTGGTCTGATGAAGATTGGAAGATATTTTGCATACAAGCATGACTGAATTTAACACATAACAGCAACAAACATTTTGATGTTTTAATGCTGAGTACCATGGGGTATATTTTATCATGCTAATACAACTTAAAATTTATGAAATGTGTTATTACCAGTAAGTGTTGTTTTACTGACAAAAATGAGTGCTAATATACGGTGACATCTTTCTAAAATGGGTTTGTAGCTAGCAAATGATCATCTGCACATCTGCCTTTTCTTGTTCTTACACCTTATAGCAACATAAGCCTTAAAATGAATATTATGTGACTTCATCAAAGCTAAACAAGTTCTTTGCAAGTACTTAGATCAGGTTTATCTTAACTAAGCAGAGTAGAAGATGGAAGGAAATGTTTGGATTCAACAGGCTAGAAAAGCACAGACTTTTTTAGATATCCAATTCATTCAAATTTGGCCTCAACAGAATTATTGGTCAAATGCTCAAGCTTGGCTAGTCCCCTGGCTTCTCACTGGTTGGAACTGCGGGAGTCTTTTCTATATACAGGGATCTGTATAACAGCTGTAGTAACAAAGTTGAGGACTATGTTCTTATAATGCATGTATGCCACCTGATCCAGGAAAGAGGTTCCCAGTCGGCGCTAAGTGTAAGAGGGAAAGCACTCTTTTCCCTCTTCGCTGTGCTATTAGAATTAGAGCATCAGTTTATTTAATGTCCCTGTGGATGTTTAGAACATTCAGAGATGATGTAGACAACAGAAGGCTCGAGGCACATGCGGGAAGTGTGAGGCTGCACAGTTTGAATTCTAGATGGGTTACAGACTGTAGGCAGGACACTTGACTGTATGGTAGATAGCATTAAGAGGGAAAAGATCCCAAATGCAGGAAACTATCCTGAAAATGTCCTCTGAGCTATGTATTCTGGTCAGGGTTTGACAAATGAAAACTTTAAAATGAGCTTAGGGATAACAGATTTCTGAAAAGTTTGTTTCAGGTATAAGAAATACGGAAGTGAGAGGGGAAATGACGATGGACAGTATGCGCTTCATACTCACGCCATCTTGAATCCTAGACCTGCCCTTTAGCACTTACAGCTCTGTGGTCTTGGAAAAAACGACTACAAATTCCTAAGGGCCAATCTCTTTATCTGTAACAGATGTTATCTCACAGAGTGTGCTGGGGAGAACATGTGATCTCTTACTGTAACGATCAGGTATGAGGTGGCTGTCTGGTATAATTTTTAGTAGTTTTAATTGGCATTAAACAGACACTTCTGCACACGATTGGAACAGATATGAAAACTTTCACAAACCATCAGAATCTCCACTCATATTGAAATCCATCATGGCATGGCTAAATTTTCCTTCTTCATTCTGTTTAACTGCCAGTTGCTGAGTCAGACTCTCCAGTGTTGTTTTTTCCTTTAAAAAAAGAAATTTATAATGAGATCTCAGTCTGGAAATTATAATTATTCAAAGACTTTTTTTTCCCCCCTTTTGGGCCTTTTTTGGGCCTTTTTTTTACCACTTTTAAAGTTTTTTTTTCCCCCCCTTTGGGTACACTTGCTTCTGGAAGGGATGCGATGTTGATTTATTCACCTTTGCACGTGCAGCACATTATACTGAGGTAAGTGAAGCCAATGATCAGTAGGAATTTTGAAGGAACTCTGATTCGCAGAATCCCCTTATACAGTCTTGGCATTTGGGTTTGCTAAGCCGCAAGGATGTATGCTGGGATCCTTGGAGACAACCTTCCCAGATCACAAAATGTGCACAGAAATTTCATGGAAGCAACCTGTTTTTACAGCATTTGGAATGCCTCCTTTATTTTTAGCCAGACAGTAGAAGTATAGAAGTGGCATGGGGCCCAGAGTCTCCCAATAGTCAGGTGACCAAATGATAGAAACGTAATCCACAGTAGTGTCCTCTGGTTGCCATCTCCCTAAATGCCATCTGCATCTCTCATGTAAGGGTAATGAAGACATTTAAATATTCATTGCTAATTGCTTGTCAAGTCTCTACATTCGATGTGAGTGCCTGCTACTTGGACCACAATTTGATTTGGATTTGCTAAGCCAAAATATTGAGTTGGCGAATTATTTGAGATAACAAATATACCAAATTTAGATCTGCAAAGACATCAAGTCATTTGAAAGCATGCAGTGCTTGATTTGAATTCATGAGAACATGGCATCACAAAGTAAATTATTTTCAAGAAAAATATAATGCTTAATCTAAACCACATGAGATTTTTAAACTATTTCCAAGTTAAGTAATTGGGTGGTTTTAAGCACAGAAAAGCATACAATAAAAGGTCTACAACTTTCTCTAGCACTCTCCATCATTGATCTGAGGGTGATATGGTTACAGAACAGCTTTCAGAAAAGCACCTATTGGATTTCATAAAATTTGCCCAGGTTTTTTTTTAATTATGCACTTCATTTTCTCAGGAACACAGTCATGAGTTACACAAATGAATCACATTTACTGCAGAACACCTATAAAATGACACAATAAAATGTTCACAGAAAATAATCAACTATTTAAGATAATTATTACAGGGAAGGGACCCAACGAATGTTTCTAACAAGAACCAACAGGACATTGAAATTCTTCATACAGTACATACTTTATCTTTACAAAATCTCTGACAGTAGTACAACCATACTAGATGAAAAATTCTCTTAATTTAGTGGCTTTGGAATCCATGTCTCTGTTCATCAAAGCTGGATACATGATTTAATAGACAACATATTTTAAATTGTCAATTGATATAAAATACAATAGGGGAACGAGAAACAAAAGAGTTTATATCAACTTTGGTTCTATAAGATTATATACTACTGACATTGAAATAAATTATATATTTAAAAACATACAGCCTTGCCCAATTTGTTTTGGGAATGAAAATGGTACTTTCAGCTGCTTTGTATGTTCTGAATTTTTTTTGCTGAGAGTCTGCTGTATATATTCAGCCAAGCCCAGGAGCACCAAGGACACCAGCTTAACAGGCTATCTTTATAGTAAATGTAGCTGCTAAAATAGAAGACAGTTACATTAAAAAAGAAAAAAAGAACAAACCACATTCCATCAACATGATATTAGAGTCTCTGGGTCAATGAAGACTTTACTATCTTTGAAGAATATATTGGGCATGGATTGCATTTCAGGTTTTGATTTAAAAGTGTATAGGGCAATAATGCTACAGATTTTCTAGAGAGTTTTCCATTTTGAAGTAAAGTCTTTAAAGAAGAAACAGCAAAATGAAGGCAGTCAGAGTAAAAAAAAGAATGAAATGTTAAGTGACTCTGAAGATTCGGCATTCAGCTGTATGAATCTTGCACCATCTTACCAAGGAGCAAATTAGTAAAGGCCAAGCTAAAGGACTAACTTACTAAAATTAGTAAAGGCCAAGCTAGAAAGTCACAAGTAGTTCTTACAATTAGTAACCTCTAATCATCTACCTCTAAAGCACAGAGTATAATAAAATGATTCAATTAGTTACCCCAAAGTGGAATTTATGATATTTAAGAGGATGTCAGTAGGAGACAGTGGAAGTAAACACAGTAAGCTGTACTTATTTTGTGACCTTTTGCATAGTCATTTAAGCTAATTCTCAGACACATTAATAGGGAAAATGAGAGGTGACTAGAGGAATTGAAGAAGATGTGGCGTACCTTTAACTAAAACACCTTAAAATAATATGTAAATCAAAATGGTAACATTGCCACAATTTAAAAACTCTCACTGACAATAAATTCAGAAGACAGAAGAATTAAGGTAAGGGGGTATATCATAAAACCCATGAATGGTTACATGATAAATATATGGAATGTGTATATACACGTGTGTGTGTCTATATATACATACATATATATATATATGTGTATGTATGTATAATATAGCGGTTATGTAGTAAATAATTAACTATACAATTCCAGATGAAAATTGATCCTGCTATAAAAGTTCATATTTAGTTCTTCTGTATACAGGTATCTATGTGTGAGCAAGATTCCAGGTAATATATTGAATTGCCAAAAGAATGACCTGGATTTAAGAATAGTCTTCAAAACTTTAAATTCAATCTGTTCAGGAATATAGTAGGTGAATCAGCCAAATTATATAAAGCACAGATGCTGGTACACTGGGAAGATTCTTTTCATTCCATTTCATCTAATCCCATACATCCCTGGCCATCCCCTTCCCAAAGAGACCACCTGTGCACTGTCACGTGTAAACCTCAATCATTTTGATTCTGAAACTTGGGTTAAAGACTTCCTTTGCAAATGTGTGATTATTACTGATAAAGGTGATTCCCAAAGTTATCCTAATGAAACTAACCCTTTCTAAATTTTTGAAGGCATGAGAATACCAGGCCACCTTACCTGCCTCCTGAGAAATCTGTATGCAGGTCAAGAAGCAACAGTTAGAACTGAACACGGAACAACAGACTGCTTCCAAATTGGGAAAGGAGTACATGAAGGCTGTATATTGTCACCCTGCTTATTTAAGGGTTCAGTTCAGTTGCTCAGTCATGTCTGACTCTTTACATCCCCATGACTGCAGCACACCAGGCTTCCTGGTCCATCACCCACTCCCAGGGCTTGCTCAAACTCATGTGTATCAAGTCAGTGATGCCATGCAACTATCTCATCCTCTGTCATCCCCTTTCCATCCTGCCTTCAATCTTTCCCAAGGGTCTTTTCAATGAGTCAACTCTTCGCATTAGGTGGCCAAAGTATTGGAGTTTCAGCTTCAGCATCAGTCCTTCCAATGAAAATTCAGGGCTGACTTCCTTTAGGATTGACTGGATGGATCTCCTTGCAGTCCAAGGGACTCTCAGGAATCGTCTCCAACACCACAGTTCAAAAGCATCAATTCTACAGCACTCAGCTTTCTTTATAGTCCAGCTCTCACATCCATACATGACTACTGGAAAAACCATAGCCTTGACTAGATGGACCTTTGTCGGCAAAGTAACATCTCTGCTTTTTAATATTCTGTCTAGGTTGGTCATAGGTTTTCTTTCCAGGAGAAGTGTCTTCTAATTTCGTGGCTGCAGTCACCAGCTGCAGTGATTTTGGAACCCAAGAAAATATAGTCTGCCACTGTTTCCATCTATCTTGGTAAATGCTATGTGTGAACTGGAGAAGATGGTGTAACCAAAAAGTAGAAACAACCCAATTATCCACCAACTTTATTAATGGGTAAATAAAATGGGTTACCTATCACCTCGCACTGGTCAGAATGGTTATCATCAAAAAGAACACAAGTAACCTAATGCTGTAGACAATGTGAAGAAAAGGGGAATCCTGGGTACACTCTTGGTGGAAATATAAATCTGTGCAGCCATAGTAAAAGAGTATGGAGGTGACTCAAAGATCTAAAAGTAGAACTATCATATGACTCAGCAATTCCACTCCCAGGAATATATTCAAAAAAAAAAGAGCAAGAGAAGAAACACTAAGTTGAAAAGATACATGCATCCCAATATTCATAGGAACATTATTTGCAATCACCAAAGTATGGAAGCAACCTGCGTATCCATTAACAGATGAATGGATAAGGAAGATATGGCGTATNCAGATACACAGATGACACCACCCTTATGGCAGAAAGCAAAGAAGAACTAAAGAGCCTCTTGATGAAAGTGAAAGATGAGAGTGAAAAATCTGGCTTAAAACTCAACATTCAAAAAACAAACATCATGGCATCCTGTCCCATCACTTCATGACAAATGGAAACAGTGACAGACTTAATTTTCTTGGGGTCCAAAACCACTGCAGATGGTAACTGCAGCCATGAAATTAAAAGATGCTTGCTCCCTGGAAGAAAAGCTATGACCAACCTAGACAGCATGTTAAAAAGCAGACATGACTTTGACCACAAAGGTCTGCATAGTTAAAGCTATGGTTTTTCGAGTAGTCGTGTATGGTTGTGAGAGTTGTACTATAAACAAAGTGATTGCCAAAGAACTGATGCTTTTGAACTGTGGTGTTGGAGAAGACTCTTGAGAGTTCCCTGGACTGCAAGGAGATCCATCCAGTCAATCCTAAAGGAAATCAGCCCTGAATATTCATTGGAAGGACTGATGTTGAACCTGAAACTCCAATACTTTGGCCACCTAATGCAAAGAGCTGACTCATTGGAAAAGACCCTGATGCTGGGAAAGATTAAAGGCAGGAGGAGAAGAGGATGGCAGAGGATGAGATAGTTGGATGGCATCACTGACTCGATGGACATGAGTTTGAGCAAGCTCCAGGAGTGGGTGATGGACAGGGAAACCTGGCATGCTGCAGTTCAAGGGTTGCAAAGAGTTGGACATGACTGAGCCACTGAACTGAACTGCTATAGAGGCAGCTGAATCAAAACGAGGGCAGTAAATTTCAGGTGGAGAGCTGGTAAATGGGAAGTTGTTGAAA